GTGGTGAACCAGGAAGAGAAGAGGTAGGCGATGAGAGCCAGGCTGCGGACGGAGAAGTGAGCAAACAGGGCCAGTTTTCGTCGACGTGACAACTCTCGCCGGCTCATACCACCGTCGGCCAGAACGTCATCATCCTCTGTAAGTGTAAGCACTACATCATCACGTGCCGTCATCATTGTGCTGACTTGGCTAAAAAGATTAATCGATAAGGAGTGGGGATAGATCAAATAAAGTCCATTTTGGATTTTACAACAGGATTTTAGTTGTCCCAATTGTGAAAAAAACTCGCGGCGTTTGGCGAGAGTCGAATCCACATAGCAGGAAGGACCTTTATGCAACCAACGTCCTACCAATTGAGCTACAAACACCACGCCTTGCGTCGCGAATTTACTCACACTTGGTTTGATTTTCCCCACCCAACTTTACCGCTCGTATGGAATCTACCAGTACGGAACAGCAACCTGACTGCCCAAGTAGGATTTCCCTAAGCGATCATCTAGAATCCATCTTCGCACATGAACACCGATCGAGGATCTTAATTTATGTCAAAAGACGTACAAAAATTTATACATGATTGGGGGTGGCGACAAGTACGACTACTCCATATAGTCCTTCAGAGAAACGAGCAAGTTGACCGTTTGAACCATACGCTTATGTTGTATGCTTTAAAATTTAGAAATCTGCTTGTCAAGCACTGGGAATCCGTTCTCCTGGACAATCTACACTCCATTAGGTCACTTCTGTGTACCGCCACTAACGTGACACGACATGAAAGTGTTTACTTAAAATAAAAGGCCAACCACTGGAATAACTCTCCCTCTGTGGCTCACTTCTCCTGGTCGACTCCTGTTGGAGAAGAGTAGCAAACAGTGTAAACATGATCCACTCTGCGAGGAGGTTGATCTGCCCCGTGAAAACCCCCAGTGTACTCACATGCGATTTGTTGATGGCAGAGAAGGAATAGTATCCATTCGATGGCTGGCTGCTACAGATGAAAAGGATATCGGTGATTATCATCAAAATTTAATTCCACTTCCCCTGACCAACCACTCTATAGCGAACATGAGAACAACGCCAGCTTTACGGACAGCCAGGATGAAACAACGCATGGTAACGCCCATAGGGAAGAAGTCATCCATTAGCAAAACCTGGAGACATTCATAAAATACCAAGAACGCATTCACCCAGACTGCCTTCGCAACAGAGGCGTTTAGAATTTTTCACGTACAAACCCTCAACTAGATGTTTTTAACGTCATGCCCCTTTTTGTTGGCCGGAGAGAATGTAACGATAACTGGGTACTGTGACCATTTCTATTTCTCTACTAATACTATTACTCTGGTTTTCCTTTTTTAGTTCCCATACGCCAGTTGCAAAATTAATAAAGATCAATTCTAGGGTACTCGTAAATGTTGACTCTTTTCCTACGTTTGGCGTATAACTACCTAATCGAGTGGTTTTGTCTGTTCCGATTACGACAACCCTAACTTGGTCGCCTTATTAACCCAGCGCGTCTACTATGTGGCCCGCGGTAGGACGTATCTACTGTGCGATTCAGGAACATAATCAAGCGTTGATAAGTACCATTTTTCCCGAGCTGACGCAAATTTCCCTTTCGTTAAGCTTAACCCTCCTGTCGAAACTGTTTTAACTGTTGTCAGAAATCACGTGATGCATTTTTTTTCTAAAAAAAACTAAGGTCCTACCTCGCCTGGCGCCGTGATGAGTAGGCTATTCAGATTGAATTCACGTTAACGTGTGCGGCAGGCAGTATGAAAGTGATGACGATAAAACCGTTTCCGCAAATGCACACGGCTAATTAATGCGCGACAGAACACGGATGCTCACTGCTACCTTGACAATACTATCATACAGGAAAAACTAGTATATCTCATAGCCCTCGAGCGACAAATAGTCACCAAGTATTCATTTTATAAAGACCAGTGTCACAATTGTCTGGAGACGAGCCTCAGTCATAAGAATGTGCGGTCACCGAAAGAGGTATAGTTTGGATTGGACACTACAGGT